GGAGCTGATGAACAACTGCACTGCATCCTGTCGGATCCCCAAAATCTGGAGGAAAGCAAGTGTCATCGCCATCTTGAAGCCAGGCAAAGACTGTAATGATCCAAAAAGCTATATACCAATCTCCCTGTTTGTGCCACCTGTACAAAGTCCTGGAGAGTTAGTTTGCATAGAATTATGGGAAAAAAAAGACCCATGTCTGATTCCACAGCAAGCTGGCTTCAGGAAAGGCAAAAGCTGCACAACCGATGATCCCAGCAGCTTGGAAGAATGGTCTTTTTGGAGTGGCCTCAGCCCAAGAGAGCCAAGTTAATTCCACCCCCACCCCCACCGCCCAAATAATAAAGTCTAAAATGTGAGCAATCATGACGAAATGAGCAAATGGGCCAGCAAGGAGGCTGGATTTGAAATGATTTGGTTTGCAGGGAAAGCCAATGGTCCAGGTCAGGGCTGCCTCTTCTTCCTGGAAATCGCACCATTCTTGCCCAGGCCAAGTCCTGCCCTCCACCCCCCCCCCCCCCCGCATGCACGCACGTACACACGCAGGCACCAGAGCTGTCTCCGCTCTCCCAGGAATGCTGGCTCTTTCTATTGCAATCCTATCTTGACATTTCCCAGCTCAAGCCAGAAGGTTCCCACCCTGCTGCCGCCATGCACCACCTGCACCACCACCAGCAGCAAGAGAGTGGTGCTTGCAAAGGTCTCCCTCGCTGTGTGCTTCTCCCTTGACTGACTCCGCAATCTTGTCATCTCTCCCTTCCAATATACCAACCAGGGCTGACTCTGCTTAGCTTCCCAGATCTGATAGGATCTGGTTCCTATAAGTGCATCAACAGAGGCTGGATGGCCATCTGTCAGGGGTGCTTTGAATGCAACATTCCTGCTTCTTGGCAGAATGGGGTTGGACTGGATGGCCCAGGAGGTCTCTTCCAACTCTAGGATTCTATGATTCTATGATTCTAACTCTTGGCCTGCATCAAGAGGAGCCTAGTGGCTAGATCTAGGGAAGTCCTGCTCCCCATGCTCTATTCTGCCTTGGTTAGACCACACCTGGAATATTGTGTCCAATTCTGGGCACCACAATATTCCAGCTGGAATGTGTCCAGACGAGGGCGACTCAAATGATCAAGAGTCTGGAGAACAAGCCCTATGAGGAGCGGCTTAAGGAGCTGGGCATGTTTAGCCTGAAGAAGAGAAGGCTGAGAGGAGACATGATGAGGGCCATGTATAAATATGTGAGAGGAAGTCCATGGAGGAGGAGGGAGCAAGCTTCCTTTCTGCTTCCCTGGAGACTAGGACGCAAGGGAACAATGGCTTCAAACTACAAGAGAGGAGATTCCACCTGAATATGAGGAAGAACTTCCTGACTGGGAGAGCCGTTCAGCAGTGGAACTCTCTGCCCTGGAGTGTGGTAGAGGCTCCTTCTTTGGAGGCTTTGAAACAGAGGCTGGATGGCCATCTGTCGGGGTGATTTGAATGTAATAGTCCTGCTTCTTGGCAGAATGGGGTTGGACTGGATGATGGCCCAGGAGGTCGCTTCCCACTCTAGGATTCTAGGATTCAACCTCCACCCTGCTGGTTGTAGATGTTGCTTTGGTGCCTCCAGGCCCTGAAATGACCATATTCAGAAGCTGAGTTATAGTTCACCTACAATCAAAGAATATTCTGATCTCCACCAACGATAGAATTGGGCCAAATTTCCTCCATAATCAACAGAAAGTACTGTGTTTTCTGGAAGTCTTTGGCGACCCCTCTGACATCCCCTTGTGACCCCTCCAGGGGTCGCGACCCCCAGGTTGAGAAACACTGTCATAGGGCTTGTTCTCCAGACCCGTGATCATTTGAGTTGCCCTCCTCTGGACACCTCCTGGTGCAACCTATTTGCTCTCCCTCTCTCACAGCCTCTCCTCCAGCAGGTAAACACAGGTAGGCCTGGAGTCCCAAGGTGTGTGGGATGCTCTCAAAATTACAACCTCTTTCAGGGAAAGCCTGAGGAGGAGCAGCAGACAGGCACACAGCCTCTTGCCTTCCTTCAGGCTGTTCCGTCAACGAGAGAAGCCATTAAGCTGACTCCAGACACAAAGCAGTTGGCAAATTACAGCCCTGTCCGGGGCAATGCAAAGTCAAGGCGCCAGCGGGCACACCGGGATTCCTAGAGGAAGAGCACCAGCCAGGTAGGAGCCGAGTGGCTAGCTCAGGCGTGGGCGAACTTTGGCCCTCCAGGTGTTTTGGACTTCAACTCTCACAATTCCTAACAGCCTGGTCTAGCTCAAGGGAAAGAATAGCACCACCCTATTCCGCTTGGGGATAATTAATAATTAATTCAGCTTTGGGATAAATAATTAATAATAATAATAATAATAATAATAATAATAATAATAATAAAGGTTTTCCCTGACATGAAGTCTAGTCATGGCCGACTCTGGGACTCTGGCGATCGTCTCTATTTCTAAGCCAAAGAGCCAGCGTTCTTCGTAGGCACCTCCAAGGTTATGTGGCCAGCATGACTGCATGGAGTGCCATTACCTTCCCACTGGAGCAGTGACTATTTATCTACTCACAGTTGCATGTTTTTTAACTGCTAGGTTGGCAGAAGCTGGAGCTAACAGCAGGAGACAAGGTGGAACTGTCTTCCGGCCCCCTCCCTTTTCACTCTGGAGCCTGGGCTGCCTCCTTTTGAGCTCTTCCTCCCATTACATTTTTATTTAGATCGAGTATTATTATTATTATTATTATTATTATT